AAAAAAAAAAAAAAAAAAAAAAAAAAAAAACATTTAAAAAGTGACGCTTTTTTCTAATACACATACGGCGGCAGAGAAGTGGATTCAACAGCGAATAATTAGTGTAAAGTTTAAAATAAATATCATAATTTTACAGTTTAGCTTAGTCTGACGACTGCAATTTTGAATTACAATATTTTTCATACCTCACGAATGTTTCCTTACATTGTACAGCGCAAAAATTTTATTTTTCTTTCTAATAAAGCATAACTGTGAGTGCAACACACCTGTAACGTTTAGTCATTTATATTTTCAAATGAGTAAAAAAATCTTTATTATTAGTAAACCTATCAATCATAACATTTTCTCCAGGTTTAAAAATGGACACTTATTTAAGCAGATAAAAAATGTAGAAAATAGCATAAAAGAAAAGAATTAGTTAGAGAAAAAAAATTTTTATTACTTATTTTTTGGTAGCTACAAATTATTTTTTTTAACCTCTTATTTTTGCTTTACAAAAATTTGAAGCTAAATTCTACATTAATCTCAAGAAACTTTAGAAAAATTTTTTGATATTGAGAGAAAACGGCCATATAGTCAGACGTGAAACCTCCTTTACAAAAAAAACTATCGGTAATAGCCTTGACTGATGTAAGACGGCTATGAGCCGCACAAGGAAATTAGGTTCAAGTGTTCAAAGTCTAAAATTTGTATCTTGGTACGAAAATTCTAAAGTGCTGTCCCAACTGTCGCTGTACGCCAGCTTCAAAAGTCTCACCCAAAAAAATCACAATTGCGGTTAAAAAGAGACAATGTTGCCTATGCAGATATTGACTAAAGTTTAGGTGCGGTTAGATCACCTGAAGACTTTTTAGCAACTTCTGACTACAACTACCAAAATGCCTCAGAATCGTGTTTGCTACAGCAATGATGTAGCTACCAGCAGTACTATCAGCATCAATAAACAAGGCAGCGACTAGCGGTTGCGATGACTATAGTAACAGGATAATCCGCTGGCGGAAACTCTTGTTTTAACCGTACCTTTGGATATTCAGAAAATTTTATCCTAGATGCGAAAAAGCGTTTGAAAAAAGTGATTCTATGCATTTCTCTGACAGCTCCCCGCCAACTGAAGTCGCTGTCATTTCTAATCAACTACTGACTTTCTTCTGTGCATTAGACACATTTCCAAAAGCGTGCACTGTTTGCGGAAGGAAGGCTACTGGTCCAACTCTGCTTCAATTTTAAGAACATGTCAATGTTTCCTCTTCTCTTTTTCGAACATTCTCAAAGCCTCGAAATACTTCTTTCTCTGGGAAAAATAAGATTTTTGAGCCCATCTTTCAGCTGCCCGGAATAAATGGCCGAAAAATTGAATTGCTTGAGACCCTTAAAACACTCAAAGTTCCAACAAAAAGCACGATTTCTTCTTTTCCTTTTCTTCTGGTTCATATTTTACGATTCGATGGTGTAACTTTAGATTGCAAGTTATCATTATAATGGCGTTTGTTGCAACGCATGTAAAATTTTTTTCCGACGGACGGTAATACACGGACGTAAGTATGCGTGTCGAAGGGCAAAACAGTGTACGCTTTTGAAAGGTAAATATACCTTGTTCCTTATAAACACTGTCCTTTTAACCACTTTTTGATAAATGAAAGATTCCAGCGTAAGAAGCTTCATTTTCTAAGATTTTTAAAGTGGTTCAACTAAAGCAAATAATTGTTTGTAAGAAAAAATAAATTGCAGAAGACCGGCCATAATGTTGTGCTTGTCGTTCCAAACGTTGCCTGTTTGTCGGTATGTATCCTTTACTGGTACAGGCTTTCTCTGACAAGCTAGAGATTCTACGGACGAAGTCAGGAAGCCTTACAAGAGAGCTACAACGTGTCAATGCTTTCTCAGCGTCAGAGGTACTAAATAAAGCAGAACGAGAATACTTGTAATTTTTTTGAACATCTTAAGGGTTTAGACGTATGCTGCTATATAGTACAGTATGATAAACAGCCAAGTTCCAACCTTCTCTTTACAAAAAACCTCAGAATTAGGTTCTTGCAGTTTTTTGTAGGTTTCTCCGCTCAAAATCTCTGCAATAAACTACAAAGCCTTAAAAGCCCTTATTGGTCTTCTGATAACTGGATCAAAACTACTTTTTTTTAAAGAAACTCTACTTTTTCTCTAAACATCGGAACGGTTAAACTTGTAGAGTTACTTCAGTCTTCCAATTTAGTACACAATGTCTCCTAGTATCAGGTAAGAAATTCTCACTGATGTTTGAAAATATGACGTGATTTCATCGCAGGCGTGAAGCGTTGTTTTCTTCTTCTCTTTAAAACTTTGATTGAGTATAATAATTTTTAGGTAGTCAAAGAGTGGGCAAATAAAAATTTTTTTTCTACTGCAGAGGACGAAATTGCAGGCAATCTTATAAGACCAAGCCATTTTAAATTCAAAAAGTGGATTTTTCAAGACTTGGTATTGTTTGTTGAATTCGCTAAAACATTTTTTTTTCTTTTCCCGCTTGTCATTTCAAGACAAGGTTTGTTTTTGCATTGAGAAAGTGAATTTGGTTGCTTTTTTTCTTAATGTTAAGCAGAAGTTCTCTCTCAGATCTCACTGCTGCAAGGTACAGCAATAATAAGACAGTCAACTTCGGCTTCATATTATTGTTACGAGGAGAATACATTAATCTTTCCTGAAGGATTTCCGCCTGTATGGTCGGAGTGAGTCATACAAATTCCCATTAATGACGGTGACGAAAATAAGTTTAATCATGACCGTCTGTAAATTTTCTTCAAGTAGAAATGTTTAAGAGTCTTTTTTTGAATTTCACATTTTTTAAACTTTTTTGAAAATTCGAACTTTTTTCAAAAGTCTGTTGAACGTATTATACTTGTAGCGTGTTAGAAAAATTTTACGTAGGCTTTCTCCTTCCGATCGTTATATATGGAGAAGAAATATGAAAATTTTATTTCGCTGCCAGCCAGATGACATCAAATATGCTCTTCTTAAAGCAATTGCATTTGCAAATGACGGTAAATAATTCTTTCTATAAGATTTTATTAACAAATTCTTCTTTTACGTATGTTCCGTCTATTTCTGCACTTTATTTCTTAGAGTTTATATTGCAGTAATATGGCAATTATTCATTTTCAGCTACAGAAGGCCCGAGCATGGAAGCGCAAGTAAAAGTAAAGCTACAGAAGGAAAGCTACACGAAACTTCTCTTCGAGTAAATGGCCATTTCGCTAGACCTTGTCTTTTTTTCTTTTTCACTACTATAGCCTAAGCTAATGCTTTGTGATTTCCGACCTTTATACCAATATTAAAGCTTCTTCACAGTTGTCTCGGTTTTTTTATGCGAATGTCGCTCGATCACTGTGCTCATGAGGTAGATTTCATTTATTTAGTGCAGAAGTATGATACTTCGGAAGCTGTGAGATTTACCAACATTCTCGGTGCTGTAAACTCCTTTATAGAATCGAGAGCAAGATGTAGAAAACGCATTTTGTTTGATACAGCAGTCAAAAGTCCGTTTTCACAAATGAAGTACTTAAAACTTTTTCCGAAATACTTTGAAAAGCTTAATGGTTGTCTACTAACAATCGTCCAGTAAAGTTTAAGTTCGCGGAAAACAAGCAAGCTTTGTCTGTCGCTATTATTTTCGGCAATATATAGTAAAAAAATTTAATAGAAAGCAGTAAAATAAAAATCAAAAGATTAATTTTGAGTTTTGTGCAGCAGTTATGAGCAACATTTCAAGTAACAGCTTTTTGCAGCTGCTATTAAAATAAACATTAAACATCGTTTGCAAGCCACTGCTGTATTTGGATTGCTGTAATTAAACTTAAAGAGCAGGCAATCAGCTTGAAAGATTTAACCTAGGAAGTGATATTGCAAAAATAAAATTGGGAATGGAAGAACATGTCATAAAGAAAAATCAAAAATTTTGAAAAAAATTCTCAGTTTTTTTTTTTCTCTTGGTTTGATTCAAATTACTGTTGGAGCTCGGTGTAGCAAGTTTAACTGCTGCATTTGACGAGAACAAGTAGTAATTAGTTTATGCTTATTCGTCTTCTTTTCTTGATGCCATCTTTTCTAAGATATGACCCTAATGTTTCGGAGTGAAAAAACCTTGTTTCCAAACTTTGGGGCTTTATTTGGAACTATTAAAAAAACTTCAGCAATACATCTGATAAATGAGTGATTTTATGCTTCAATACACGCTTCAAAAAGATGCTGCTTTTGCTAATCACTTTTATTCCGACTATATAAAATTGGTCATTCTTATCTCAAAATTCCTGCAGAAAAACCGGTGTTAGGAACCATTTGTCTGTCATTTTCATTATTCCTTACCTTTGTCGTTTCTCAAAATTCTGTGAAGGCTGTGTTGGATCAAATAGATCAAATGGTATATGGAAAAACTGACTACACGAAGCGGAAGAGGAGAAATGGGACAAGTTTTAACAAAAAATCCCTTCGTTATTCCTCCGACCCGTGCTGCCTTTTTTTATTAACGCAACAGGAA